CGGGAATTAATCTGAGTTTTGGGTTCGGAGAAGCAGCATTAAGGGCCGGCCCTAAAACTTGTAATAACAGCTCTGTGCATACCTGTGCCTGTGATGTGGGGTGAGACCCACTCCAGACTCTTCAAAACAAGAAATTCCTGCCCCGTGAATTCATCTTCCCGTCTCGCCCCGCGCTCTGGGCAGCCTCTGGCTGCGGGATGGCCCCTGCCTACGTGTGGGTCCTGGGCTGGATCCCTTCCCTCCCCCTGGGGTGCTTCAGGAGGGCTGGAACAAAAGCCTGGAGGTGGGTTAAAATCAGGGAATCGTGGAGTTATTTAGGTTGGGAAAGACCTCTAGGATTGTAATCAACCATTCCCCCACCGCTAAGCCATGTCCCCAGGTGCCACAGCCACACAGCTGTTAAATTCCTCCAGGGATGGCAGTGCCTGACAGGGCTGCATTTTTTTGGAAAGCAGATATTTTGGCGAGGAGGGATGGATTTGGTCGATGGAGAAATGGACAGGATCTGCCTGGAGGCTCTGGATCGTGGCTGGGTTGAGCAGGGGTCACTGGGATTTCTGGTGGGTACCACAGAGGGACAGACCTGACCCAAACCCACGAGGATGGAGACTCATCCGCTTCCCTTAAATCCATTTAAATCCACGGAGAGGGAAGAACGCTGTCCGTCCACCCAGCCTCGCTTCACATGCACGGAATCTGGAAGAAAACCCCACCTCAGCCAGCAAGTTCAAACGATGTTCAATCCCCACCCTGGAATTGCATCCAAATTTCTGTTTCTGACAAGAGCCTGCTCCAGCACCTCCATCTGAACCAATCCTGGGCTCTGCCTGCCCTCGGATGTGTTTGCAGGACCTCAGGATGAGCAAATCCCTTGCCGAGTCAGCAGTGCCAGCCCCGGCTGCTTTTCCCAGGTTTTTTTGCAGGATGTTTTCTTTGCAGCCGAGCTTTGCAACGGGATTTATCCCATGGCATCAGTGCCAGGGAGGGAGACAATATTCCAGCAGCCTGGGCCTGGAAAACATGGTGGATCGAGGAATTTTCGCAGCTCTGGAGTCATGAGCAGTTTGCGGTGCCTTCCTGTGGAGTTTTAATGCTCCTCTCCCCATAGCAGGGAAAACATGGCTGGAAGACCTGGATCTCCTCACTCTGCTGATCCATGCTCAAGTCCTCATTCCCAGTGTTTTTTCCAGCTGACTTTGGATGGAAAACCCTTTGGAAGCCTGCCTGGGGTGAAGGTTCCTGCTTGGAGCGTGGGGTGATCTGTGTCACCCCCTCTGCTGCGGGGCAATCCAGAGGGGCTCTCCCTCCAATCCAGGATTTTTCCAGCTTGGAGCTGGGGAGGTTGGGTTAGATCTTTAAAGGTCCTTTCCAACTCAAACCATTCCATGCTTCCATGTTTGTGCCTCCTATCAACACTTCCTCTGGAGCAGCAGTGACTCGGCGAGGGCAGCGGCGCGGGGTCCCAGGGAATCAAAGCCGACATTGTGGGAATGAGCAGCAGATGCTTGGAAAGAATTTGCCGGCGTCTGGCCGGGGCTGCTGCAGGCACTGCACCCTGGAAGGGGCTTTGTGTGTCCCCTCGCTGAATTCCTGCAGTTTTCAGGGCTGCCAGAGCCCCTGGGAAGCACCTGGAACTGAGGGAATCTCCATAGGGACCGTCCCTGTGTGGTGGGCTGATGGAATGTTCCTGTTCAGCAGCAGGAGCTGGGATGTTTTCTGTACAAACACCAAAATTTACGGTTTGGGGTTGGGTGTTTTTTTCCCTCTGTCCGTGCTCTGCTGACGCCAGCTCGTGTGGTTTAATCCCTGGTGCTCTGGGATCAATCCAGGCTGCAGGAGGAGCAGGAAATGCAGTGACTGGTGTGGGGCTGAACAGCCCCAGCATGCCTGAGGGGGACAGGACAAGAGGGAATGGTTTAAAACTGGCAGAGGGCAAGGTTAGTTGGGGTATTGGGAAGGAATTCTTGGCTGTGAGGGAGGAAGGAGAGGCCCTGGCACAGGCTGCCCAGAGGAGCTGAGGCTGCTCCATCCTTGGAAGTTTTCCATGTTGGGCAGGATTTGGAGCACTCTGGGACAGTGGAAGTTGTTCCTGCCCGTGTGGGGGAGAGAATCCCAGTGATGGATTCTCCAGTAGCCCAGCAGTGGGTGCTGCCTGTGGCTGGAATTCCGAGCCGGCTGCAGCCCACGGAGTTGCCACGGGAAGAAGCTCTCGGGACTTTTGAGACTTGAGGGACTTGAGGATCCTATGGGTGGGAGCAGGACACGGGGGTGCTGCAGGAGCCCCGGGACACGGCTGCTTTGCTGGGAGCTGCTTTGCTGGGAGCTGCTTTGCTGGGAGCACGGCTCCTCCCCAGCCCAGCCCGTGCAAGTCGCATCACGCCGGTGCCCGGGAGCTGCCGGCGCCCGGCCGTGCCGTGCCAAATTCCTCCAGCCCCGTTCTGTGCCCGCCGGGATCTTTAGTGAGCCCTGGCACCGGCCCGGCTGCGGCGCTGCCGGCTCCCGCACGGAGCAGCCATGGAGAGGTGCCAGGCACGGCCACGGCGCAGAGCTGTGGGGCAGCGATGCACTGCATGGGTGCTCCAACTCAATGCATGGGTGCCACAATGCACGGGTGCAATGCGTGGATGCACGTCTGTGCTGCATGGATGCAGTGCATACCTTGCCGTGATGTTCCAGCTCAACGCATGGATGCCATAATGCATGGGTGCAATGTGTAGGTGTAATGCATGGCCATGGATGCAATGTGTGGATGC